AAAAAAAATAGTCAAGACTTACCAAGCTCTTACCATGTGACAGACACTATGCAACACACTTTGGTATTTAATCCTCACAACCACTGTTATTAATTTCATTTTACATACAAGGAAGCTGAGTAAGGCTTATACAGATGTCAAGCTACACTGTGTCAGGATTTGAATCCAGAAAATCTGATGCCAGAGTGCAGGTTCTTACCTTCCGCCCTCAACTATGATATCTTCCTGTATAAATCCCTGCCTAGACCATGTGTTGGGCTTATATATATTTATACATACTAATTACTAATTGGGCTTATTTATATATTTAAATACACTAATTACTCAAGCTCCTTTAAAAGGAGAAATATGAAAAATATGGTTGGTTGATATGCAAATATTGTGCATCAGCTTTTCCTAGTTCTCAGGTGTAACTGTTTTAATGGAAAAAATAGAAATTGGTAATTGCATTGCTTTAGGTCACTTTAGAATTATCATGTAATCTGAATGGATGATAGTAAAAATAACATGAAACCATAGGAACCTGTGAAAAATTAAAATATGGAAATAGACACAGATACACACATAGATGTAGATTTATGATGGCCAACCTGGTTTTTAGAAATGGAGGGTGATCAAGGCCAAGAGTGTCCTGGGAAGAGAAACTTCCCAGCTTTTCTTTGTCCTGGGCTATGATGAACACCATAGTGGACACTTCAGGAAAAACAAGTAGAGAGGGGAGATGCTGTGCATTTATTTCCCTAAGTCTTACGGTTTCGTTTTCTGAAGTTCAAAGTTTCAAATCACCCATTCTTTTTCCAAGTGTGACACCCTCCCACCTACACCACCATTGTATTTCCACATCCGAGTTTGAATTTGAGTAGTTGTTTTACCATCTATTTTCATGGTGCAAATGAGTTGTATTTAAACAGTGCTTTTTTTATTCTAGGCTCTCTGTGAGTTGCTTCATCAGGATCCTGTTTCTGATCAAGCAGGCTTGGGGTGCCTACCAAATCATTACTACTTTGCTATGTCGCTTTTAAATCTATTTTCTGGGCCACTGGGCTTCCTGTTACGGAACTTCTTCTCCTTAGCTTGTGGCATTTTCCCAGCTCTGCCAGGCCTTTACATTTACTCTCAAGGAGATCAAGACATGTATAAATCATCCTCACAGAGCCAACATTTGCTCCAAATACAGCAAAACTCCATTTCCTGAAGTGTGCTTGAGTCACTTACCAGCCAAGCTGGGCCCATTAGTAACAATCAGAATCTATATCAATTTACAAATTTGCTGAAAGCAGTTGTGTGTTTTTTGGTTGGTTCTTTCCTGAACTTTTCAGGTTCTAATGACCAGCCCAGTTAGTTTATATACATCATTGAATTTGCCGGGATCCTGGCAAATGTACCTGATGGTCTAACCTGTTAAACACACAAAAATTTTATGTTAAATACAGTCATTAAAAACTCATACATGTCATGCTTCATTGTCAAGGGCAAAGAAAAATAAAAAAGGAGAATGTTATCAGTGAAGGAGAAGATAATGTCCAGTGATTTTCTATTACATTCAGTCCTTTCTCACACACTTAGTAGAAGTCATCTAACTGCTTTTAACATTTCTAATTATTTTCACATCCCTGTCTTGCTGTGAGAGTTCTTTAGCTAAAAAAACCTTTTTGTTTTCTGAGAATAAAAGAGTTGCCCTTTAATTAATATTTTAAGAACAAGTAAGATCTAAGCTGTGCTTAGAAAATTGCATTTCTGGACGCCATGCATAGAAATAGAATATATCAGATATTGCATAGCAGGGATAATAGACCAAATATCTCCACATCGGACTGTATCCTGACAGTGATAGAATGCAACAAGCACATGTGAAAATGGAAATAAATAATGCTGCACTCCAGTTAACCTTCCTTTTATACAAGCTTCCATTTGTAAACTGAGTATACCCTTGCTCAGATTACAGGCTTTAAGGAGCTTTAGATGCAATACCTTCATTGACCAGGAAAGCCAACTACCCCTATCTTCTGAAACCAAATCATAAAAATGAAATCCTTGGCATCCTATAATCATGAAACATGAATTATAGCTATGAGATGATCCAAGCTAATAGGCATTATTGACCTAGGCCCTATTTTAGAAAATCATTCTTCTCTAGCAACCAGAAGATCTTTGAGGTTACAAAGAGATTGTTTTACTTTCAAAAGCATTGGGACTCTTGAGTTATGAGGGCCCGTTCACTTTGAGAAGTGACTGTGTTTCTATTCAAAGGATTTAAACTAAGGAATTTATGATAGATACGCCTGAATTGGCAAATATGCAAAAGGATAATTATTTTTTATTTATTCGAGGTTCATTTCACTGCCACGAAAATAAATCTTGTCAGCTATTTCATGGAACAAAAAGAATAAAAAAGGCAAGGAGTGGAGTTGGAGTATTGAGGCAAGACTAGGAGGGAAAATAAAGAAAGGTGTTATGTCAATCATCATGTTTTTTAGTGGATAAAAGAAAAGCATAGACCAGCTGGGCTATGAAGTACACCGATGGAGCTGAAATAGACACAGTCAGCATAAAGGTCTTGATGATGAAGGGAGCTGTTTTTATTCTCAGATTTGGCTTTCTTGTGCTTACTCTGCTTTCTGTAAGTAGAAGTCTTGTGACCTGTTGGAATAAGAATGCTTTACTGCCTCACTAAGATGCTAATTTTTTTCTAGTGACATGTTGGAAGATTGTCCTTGCAGACTGGCACATTAGCATGATCTGATAGCTTGCCATACTGACTGTTGATTGACTTGTTCTCCTCTGTAGCCCTGGGGCTGGACAGTGAGATTGGAAACTTTGAAGTGGGCAAGGAATTTGATGCCCTCCTGATCAACCCCAGAGCATCCGACTCTCCCATAGACCTGTTTTGTGGGGATTTCGGTGGTATTTCTGAGGTAAGCGAAAGAAAGTTAATCAAATGGCATTTATTGCATGAAGTAGTCTTAATAGCTTCCCTGTAGAAAAGGAACAGAAATTAAAACATTTTCATGGAATGCAGGAGAATCTTAAAAGGAAATCTAGGTTCCTTTGATAATTATTAGTTTCACAACAGCAATGCTAAGAATAATGTTATTAACCAAATATTTGTGTTTTGGATGTATTTGTGTATTTGAATGTATTTGGCAATAAGCAGCCATAGTATAGCTAGTATTTATTCAGCATTTTCTATGTGCTAGGTGGGCATGGGATTAAGCACTCTTGTACGTAATTTTATTTCATCATCAGAACAACTCTTAGACAAGTGGGTACTATTAATATTGCCATATTAACTATAGGGGCAGTGAGGCTTAAGGGAGGTCAAGTGATTTACCTAAGGACTCATGGCTAGTAATTAGTAGTAAGAGTTTGGATTCAAACTCAGGACTTTCTTTTTTTTTTTTTTTTAATTCCTTTTTGTCTTTTTTTACTGACCGGTAACGGGATCGCAACCCTCGGTGTTGCACCCGCACCGTGCTCAGCCAGTGAGTAGGAACCGGTCTCCACATGGGATCCGAACCCTCGGCGGGAGCGCCACCGCGCTCCCAAGCAGCGCACTCTCCAGTGTGCCACCGGGTCGGCCCCAAACTCAGGACTTTCTGACTACCAGAGGCTGGCCTCTTGACCATATGCTATATCAATTTTCTTAACTTTATAAGAACATGAGTTTTGTTCCTGTTATTACAAAATATTTTCCTATGTGTATAACAAGCTAGTTTATCTTACTTTAATAATGATTCTTTATAAGATATTGAGTTTTTTTTAAAAGAATTAGCTTATAGCATTTATAAATTGATTTACTTATAAAGAGTAAATGTAATAATAAATAGTTGTGCATGGCTTAACAATGGAAAAACATTCTGAGAAATGCATTGTTAGGCGATTTTGTTATGTGAACATCATGGAATTACTTACACAAACCTAGATGGTATAGCTTATGATAAACCTGGGCAGTGTGGTACAGCCACGATAATCTGATGGCACCACACTTGCATATGTGGTCTGTCACTGACCGAAATGTCATTATGTAGCGCTTCAGTGTAAATTATATTGAGGTTTTTGAAAGAAAAATGCTGGATTATTTGAAGTTTGTACCATTTGTTATTGTAGGGGAGGAAAAATATCTTTTCCTTTAGCATCTTAGATTCAAGGCCCAGGTCCCTAGGACGATAGGCAAATGAACAGGAGAAAAGCGTACAAATGTATTTAAGTTTCATGTGGCTTAGGAGCCTTCATAAGGAGATGAAAACCCGAAGAAATGGATAAACCTGAGTATTTTTATGCTAGGTTTGATGCAGAGTGAAGAATCATGGAGAAATATGATAGGGCCAAGAGTACGATCTAATGATAAGAAACTGGGGGAACTGCACAAGGCCTGTTTGTTCAGATTCTTCTGTGTCCCTGTGGCTTCAGAGATAAGGATGTCCTTTTCCTATGGGTATAGGGAGGCCACCTCTGACATGAGGGTCTTATGACCTATTCAGGGGAAGGTCAGAAAATCCTTCCTAGCTTTTATAACCTGCTTCAGAAGAGACAGGTGAAGAGAAGGTCAGAGTGACCTTCCTGCTTTTGATTTTAGGGCAGCATGTCCTGACTCCCTCACTGTTTTCATGTGATTTATTCTTTTACTTTTTTATTAGAGTGAATCTCTGGGAATAGGGCTCAGTCCCATTCATCTAGTCATTTTTTTTTTTTTTACATCATAACCTTTTGAAATATTTGAATTATTTTATTAATTAATTTATGTAATACTTTTCCTTTGAAGATTTCAAGGTTATACACCAAAAACATTCAGGCAATAGATAAAGATTTGATAATAGCCAGTGGGTTGTTTCTTTTTAAGCAAAAGACCAATTTTTTTGGTTTTAATTAATAGAAGTAGATTTTGCTGTTGAGAAATAAATTTATATTTCTGGGCTTTGCCAACCACTACTGGCTGTGAATTTACTTTTTTAAATGCACAAAATATTCTTTCTTATTAATTTTATTTTCCATTTTAGGCTGTTATCCAGAAGTTTCTCTATCTAGGTAAGTGGATGTATGTTTCTATGCTAAATAAAATCTTTCTTTGTCTTTTTCTTGGACATGACTCTCTGTATTTATTGTACCACATATTAAATTTGTTTTGATTCATTATTTTTTTAACGGTCCTCAGCCTCAAGCCCGTTTGTGGCACAATTTTTAAAGGCGCTTTTTGAAATACACATGACTCTCTAGAACATACGGGCACAAATCCTAAGCTGAGGAATGGAAGGCCAAAGGGGAAGACATCCTTTGTGCCCAATAGGACTGTATCCCATAGTCCTATTATGTTGTATTTGTCGTAAGTATGTAGTGGAGTCTCGCCACATGTGCTTTTAACATTCTCACATTAATTCTATTTGCTGAAAGACAGAAACATTCAANGCCACATGTGCTTTTAACATTCTCACATTAATTCTATTTGCTGAAAGACAGAAACATTCAATAGTGCAGAAGATTCTACTGTGCCTCTCATTCTATTGAGTGAGCTCAGTACTGAGTGAACTTCAGATGGGAGAGGGACATGTACTTCTTGTGGAGCTCAGTTTCTGCAGACTGTTCATCTCACCATGCTCAGTATGATTCTGGACTGTAAAGATCAGCATCGCTTTTCTAACTGGGGCTGGAAAGGCAAACCAACTATTTCATTTGAAACAGAGTTGGTTGGACTTTATGTGATTTCCACCTTAGGTGCAGAATTCGGACCCTAATCCTCAAATTACCTATGGCATCTTCTATGGATCAAGTCTTTCTGTCCAGATTATAAACAATCAGAGGAAAGGCAGCTTTTTGTGTTTCCTCTCTTAGGAGGTTTTTTTTTTTTTTTTTTTAAATCTCCTCAATGGCAATGAAAATAGTTATTGACACAAAGGCACTTTATAAATGATTACTTGATTTTTCTTTCAGGAGATGATCGAAATATTGAGGAGGTGTATGTGGGTGGAAAGCAGGTGGTTCCGTTTTCCAGCTCCGTGTAAGAGCCTCGGGCATCTACAAAGTTCTCCTGGGATAACGTGGCTCTGCATCTCTCTTGTACCCAGGTGGAGTCAGGAAGTCAAACCAGTACCTTGTTGTGGGGCTGACTATCTCTCTCTGTGTTTTAAGCTCAGACAGAAGGGAATGTTACTGCTGGTGGTTTTCTTATGAGATTTAAGTAAAATCTATTTCATATTTGGAAATGTGTAGAGAAAAGATATTTCTGTAAGATTAGGTATTTTGAGATAACAAATGCGAAAATTCAGAAACTGAAAATGGACCAGTGAGTATATTTTTATGAAGGAGCAAATGTTGGACTGCAAACAAATGTTCAAAACTGCTTCGGGTTGTGTTTGAAAATGATATGCTGAGCATACTAATTGACCTCATGTTTTAGAAATTTGCACTTAATGGCGTTTGCATTTTGGAGATGTGTTATTGTTGTGCTTTGCCTTCTTTGGGGATGAATGTCAGAAATTGAATGCCACATGCTTTCTTAATATAGTTCTGTGCTTCAAAGTGTTTGGCAGAAGTTGGGTAATAAGATTTAAAGTCTCTTAGGAATATTACTCATATAACTACACTGCATAAATAGTTGTATTTTTGTGTACTTTAAAATCACCTTAATGTATAACCGTGTGATGTAATAACTGCTTCTGTTTTATTAGGAGAGAAACAAATTCCATATTCCACCGTTGTGTAGATTGAAGTCTTCATAAATTGGGGGCAAGTACTAGGTATTCAGGAGCTGTTGATATTAACAGGAACGTTCCATTGCAATGGCCTATTCTACCCAAACACTATGCCATGGTTGCTGGAAATTTCTTACTCAGATATCAATCTGCCAGAATTTTAAAATGAAGGACAAATCCTGTTAAAGAAATATTAAAAATCTTTAAGCTCTGTACATTGAAAGCATTCTCTATTTTCCAATTTTATCCAATTGCCTATTTAATTCCTTATAATTTTCAGGACATTAGAATTTCAGGGTAATGAAAAATGTCCCACTCAATATTTATATTGATAGAATTTATCATACTAGACATTTAGGAATAGTAAACGGAGCATATTTTTATGCTTCCTAATTAATACAGTGTGCTTTAAATTAAAATTAAAACCAAATTATGACCTTGCAATAAACTCTTAAGAAGTATTGATATGGATGTTATTTAAATCCTATATTTTCCTTATTCAATTCCAAATACTACAAACAAACCAGGAAAAGGAATAGATTTTCTTAATACATCGTAACACTCATACCCAGGGCTTGGGCATGACTCCTTAATATTATCTAATAGTAGAAAATGTTATGTAATATGGCTAACTCCATATTTACAGAACCAAGAACACAGATCCTCCTCCTGTAGTATAAATTTTATTTT